AAATACTGTATAGTGCCACTGTTGTAAAACGGGACTAACATTGGGGTAGAGGGGAGACTGAGAAAGATGGGATAAATAATGTATACTGCATCGAAACAGATGAGGGAGAGAATTGTTTGAAAGTGATATATGATTAGGTATTATTATCATGACAGGAGTCCAGAATGAAGCCTGTGTAGTGGAGTGGACTTAGGGGGAGGTATTGTATAACAATGATGGAAATTTTCTTTTACTTTTCAAAGAGAAGAGCGAATTGGGTGGGGGGAGGGAGAAAAATGCAATAATGAATGAATGGAAATCCAAAGTCTCTGTAAATGTTCATTAAAATTAATAATAATAAAAAAGAGACTGTAGAGGCATATGCAAACAAAACACACACACAGGTGCACCAGCTGTTCTTGTACAGTGCCATCAAGTCAACTAGGACTCACAGCAACCCTGTGAGTCGCAGATCTGAACCTTGCCCTGTCCTGTGTCCTGTCCTCACACGTCCACCACACCCATGTCCACTGTCACAGTCACTGTGTCAGTTCATTAGTTGAGGGTCATCCTCTCTTTCTCAGCATGATGTGTTTTTCCAAGAACTGACCTGTCCTGACAACACGGGAAATGAACGTATATAGAAGGAAGTTTCAGCGTCTGTGCCTCTAAGAAGCATCCTGGCTGGACTTCCTTCAGGACAGGCTTGCTTGCTCTTGTGACAGTGCCTGGGACAGCCATTCCTCTTCACCAACTCCATCATTCAAAGGCATTCACGTTCTCCAGTCTTCTTACTCACTGTCAACTTCCAGATGCACAGGAAGGAAGTGAAATCACCACGGCTTCGGTCAGCACAGCTTAGTCTGTAAACGGACACGGCTGCCCTGTGGCACTTGCAAGAGGCCTTTCACAACATACTTTCCCCGTGTAACACATCTCTTCTTCTTTTTTTTTAAGATTTAAATAGGCTTTATTGTTACAAGTTGGGGCCCCCACGCAGGGCCTTCTATCTGTGGCCCCAGGATGTCACCATGGAGACATCAAAAGGTCATGATTGCAGGAAAGGTAACTGAAGGACACGATTTGGGGCTGTTTAGCCAGGAATGCAGGAACATGATTAGATGGTCCAGGGGTGCTCAGGAAACTGGGCGGGAGAGGACGGTCCCCTTCATTCCCGCTTCTTGTAGCTCTCCAGGTGTGACAGGACCCAGGCCGGGGGCACAAGGCAACAGATGAAGCAGGCGGTGAGCCCGGTGATGGAGTCCATGATCCCGATCTTCTCCTGCACCGGCTTCGAGTGGACCTGGACGCGCGGCACCAGGACCCGCTGGGCCGGGCCCAACAGGCTCCTGAGCAGCAGTGGACTCAGCACAGACATAACGGCCCGGTGCAGACTGCAGACTCAACCGCAGGCCAAGGTCAGGAAGTCAAAATGGCCAGCACATCTCTTCTTGACTGCCACTTCCACGGGAGCTCTGGTGGTGTGGCCCACAGGGAGCTGTGCAGCGAACACAAGAGCTGCACCTCTCTGACGGTTCAAATCCACCAGTGACTCCACAGGAGAAAGATGGGCAATGTCCTCCCACGCGATTGACAGCCTCAGGAAAGCTGCTGGAGGGTCAGCTGTGTGTCGGGTCTGACTTGCTGGTCATGAGTGAATGAAGGGGCGGGTGTCCACGGGTGCTGACGGACGGAGGTGAATCAGTAGGATGTGTTGCTTTTCTAGGCAAGTATGTAATAAGTCACAGAGGGATCACAGTTATGAAAGCTTCCAAGGTGTAGCCAGACAACTCCAGAACGTGTCTACTGGGTTAAAAGACTTGGGAGCACTCTTGTCTGTGAGACAGCTTAGTCAACTCACATGACATCATTCACCAAGGCAGCGTTCTAGGTTCCAGTTTGGTGAGTCTATCTAGGGTCTTAAAAGATTGAACCATCATCCAAGGTACAAGTACCCATTTCTACTCACATGGAGCAAAGAGAGGGAAAGAAATCAAAAGCTCAAAGAAGACACTCATCCACAGGATTAATGGTCCACAGGAACCACAAAACCTTCTAACGTGAGGCCAAGAGACACAGATGATGCCCATCCACGAGGCTAACAGCCCACAGGAACCAACCACCTCTTATCACCTGAGACCAGAAGACATAGATGGTGCCCGGCTACCACAACAATTCATTCTGACCAGAACAGAAGGTCCTGAGTGCAGCGGGAGGAGAGTAAAACAAAACTTAAATTCCTAAGAAGGGTCAGACTTACTGAACTGATAGAGACATAGCAGAACCCCGAAGACTATGTTGTCCTAAAATAATCTTTAAATACAGATTCAAAACTATTTCTACAGGTTAACTTTTCAGTCAAATAATATATCAACATAAAATAAACATTACCACCCACAAGTAAGGGGAGGTCTGGTGGTGTGGTCTGTAGGGAGCTGCGCTGCTAACCAAATGTGGTGCCTCTCTGGTGGTTCAAATCCACCAGCAGCTCCTGGGGAGAAAGATGGGGAATCTCCTCCCGTGCAATTTTACAGCATCTGAAAATCAAGGGGGAGGATCAACTATGAGTTGATTAAAACTCAACAGCATTGAAAAAGAGAAGGAGAGGGAGAGGGAGAAGGAGAAGGGGAGGGGGAGGGAGAGAGGAAAAGAGGGAGGGGAAGGAGAGGGAGAAAGGGAGAGGAAGAGATGAGAAGGGAGAGGAAGAGGAATAGGCAGAGGGAGAGGGGGAGGGAGAGGGAGAGAGGGGGACAGCAGGGAGAGGAGAGGGAGGGGGAAGAGGGGAAAGGGAGGGAAGGGAAAGGGGAAGGGAAGAGGGAGAGGGAGAGAGGGGGAGAAACAGAGAGAGAGACAGACAGACAGACAGATACACCCCTATAAGTAATGTGTTCCCTTAAGCAAAGAATTACAAGACACCAAAGAGGCAACGTTTACCCAAAAGCAAAGCAGAGAAGGCAAGCAGAGGAAGGGAGACTAGATCAATAAAACAGAACAGAAGGAAATAACGGGACTGCTGAGACACTGTGAAAAATGCAACCAATGTTAGGGAATTATTGAACGGAAACATAATTTGCTTTTTAAGCCCTTCACCTGAAAGACAACAAATATTATGAAATTAAAAAAAGAAATCATATATGCAAAATAATCTCATGTGTCTTTAGTTCTAGACGATAGAGGCTTCTTTTCTTCACCACATTAACACAACGTATTTTTTAGCTAAAATTAATTTTTTTATGTGCTGTTTTGCATCCTATCTCCATACCTTTTCAACCTATATGCAGAACAGATCATCCGGGAGGCTGGGCTCTATGAGGAGAAATGTGGGGTCAAGATTGGTGGAGGATCTATCAACAATCTGTGTTACGCAGATGACACAACCCTGCTTGCTGAAACGGAGGAGGACCTGAAGCACCTGCTGCAGAGGGTCAAGGACTGTAGCTTCCAATATGGATTGAGGCTCAGTGTCAAGAAGACAAAGATTCTCACCACTGGACCAATTGGAAGCATCAGGATGGATGGTGAAGAGATTGAGATTGTACACAGCTTTAGTTTGCTTGGCTCCGCAGTCAACACTTTTGGCACCAGTAGCCAGGAAATTAAAAGGTGCATTGCCATGGGAAAGTCTGCTGTTAGGAACCTCTTCAAAGTACTGAAGAGCAATGGTGTCTCTCTGGAGACTAATGTGCGCCTGATACAGGCCATGGTCTTTGCAATCACTTGTTATGCATCAGAGAGTTGGACAATGACCAAGGAGGACAGAAGGAGAATTGATGTCTTTCAGCTGTGGTGCTGGAGAAGAGTATTGAGAGTACCATGGACTGCTAGGAAAACAAACAGATTTGTCCTGGAAAGGGTTAAATCGGGTGGCTCCTTGGAGGCAAGGATTCTAAGGCTCTGTCTAACATACTTTGGACATATTGTGAGGAGAGACAGGTCCTTGGAGAAGGACATCATGCTTGGTTGGGTGAAGGGACAGCACAGGAGGGGAAGGCCCTCTATGAGGGGGATTGATTCGGTGACTGGGGTAATCGGGATGTGAGTGTCAGAGACAGTGCTATTGGTACAAGACAGAGCAGAGTTTAGGGCTGTTGTACATAGGGTCGCTATGAGTCGCAAGCGACTCGAAAGTACATAACAACAACAACAACAACAACAACAACAACAATGTGCTGTTCTACTTAAGATTTGATGAAAAAAATATACTTTTCTCATTTAACTTTGAATTTCAAGAATAATGAATTCTTTTCTTCTGATTAAGAAAAATTTAGACCAGATTTGAACAAAACCTCCCCGCCCCCCCAAAAAAAATCAAGAAAATAAAGATTCCCACCACCAGGCCAATTAACAGTATCACAATAAATGGAGAAAAGATTGAGGTGTTGAACAATTTCAGCTTGCTCAGACCCATATTAACATTTTTGGCACCAGAATTCAAGAAGTCAAAAGAGGAGTTGTTTTAAGAAAGTCTGTTCTCAGGTACCCCTCCAGAGTGCTATGATGTCAGTTTAGAGACTAAGGTGCACCTGATCCAAGACATGGTCTTCTCGTTTCTTGTTATGCATCTGAGAGCTGGACAGTGACTCAGGATGACAGAAGAAGAAATGATACTTTTGAGTTGCAGTGCTGGAGAAAAGTATTAAATGTACCATGGACTACCAAGAAAACAAACAGGTGTGCCCTGGAAAGGGTGAAACCAGGCTGCTCCTTGGAGGCAAGGATTGTGAAGGTCCATCTCACATACTTCAAGTGTGTTTCCAGGAATGACCAATATTTGGAGAAGGATGACATACTTGGAAATGTACAGGATCAGTACAGAAGAGGAAGATCCTGGATAAGACAGATTGACACAGTGAATATGGGGTCAGGTGTGTCAGAGCTGGTGAGCTGGGTCAGCACAGGTCAAGGATCAGAGCTATTGTTCATAGAATCACTATGAGTTGTAGCTGACTCAATGATACATAATAACAATAACAACAGCCTTCAATATGGGTTACATTGCAAGCCAAGAAAATTAAAATTCACACCACTCCACCAATAGACAGTATCATCATAGATGCAGAAAAGACTGAATTTTTCAACTATTTCATTTTACTTTTATTCACCAAAATCCACAATGCATCCTTGGTAGCAGTAGCCAAGAAATCAAAGGTGTGTTGCATTGGAGAAATCTGTTCTCAAGGACCTCTCCAAAGTTCTGAAATTCAAGGATGTCAGTTTAAAGACTAAGGTGTACCTGATTCAAGCCTTGGTATTTTTTATTGCTTTCTATGCATCTGAAAGTTGGACAATGAATAAAAAATACCGGAAAAGAGTCAATGTCTTTGATCTGTGGTGTGGCTAAGAGTATTGGATATACCATGAACTTCCAAAACACACACACACACACACACACACACACACACACACACACACACCGCCCCCAACCCAACCCAACACCAAACACATTTGTCTTGAAGGAAGTACAACTAGAGTCATGATTGTGCAAACAGAAGTCTTACAGGCAAGGATGGTGAAATTTCATTTGTTTACTTTGGACGTATTTTCAGGAGGAACTTGCCCTTGGAGAAAGATATCATGCTGGGGAAAGGTAGATGGTTGGGGAAAGACAGAAGACCCTCAATGAGAGGGACCGATGCAGTGATGACTACCACGGGCTTGGGCAGCCCAGAGAGGGTGAGGATGGCATGGGATAGGGCAAGGTCAGATCTGTTGTTCATAGGGTCACTATGAGCTATAGTCAACTTGATGGCGCCTAATGACAACATGTATTTTGCAGCATTATTTGTAATAGCAAAGCCTGGAAACAACCCAAGTGTCCATCAATAAATGAACGGCGAAAGAAACAATGGTACATTCACACAGCACAGTGCTATGCATTAGTTAAAACAAAACAAAACAAAACAAAACCACAAACAACCCACCAAAACAAACACAACCCAGAGAATAACTTAAGAATTTGTGAAATTCTGTCAAATATGGATGAATCTGGAACACATTATGTTGAATGACGTAAGTCAGTAAAAAGCTGATGATGGCATCCAACCACTATTTTTTCATTTATTAAATTTTATTAGTTTTAATGAACATTTACAGGGATTTTGGGTTTTCATTCCTTCATTGCTGCCCCATTCTCTCTACCCTCCTCCCCAGTTTGTTCTTCTTCCCCTGCCATCCGAATGTCTGTTTTAATTGTCCAATTGCCACAGTGCTTGTCAAAGTCAGTTCTGATTAATCTCCTTTGTCAGTGTGTCCTTTGCCATTCCCTATCACTCCTCCCGGAGAGAGACTTCACCCTGATTCATAAGGAAAAGGGGATGGCGTATTCTCTTAGCTACTTCCTGCTGAAAAGGAACACTGTGGGTTTCAGGGTGAAGATCTTCTCTCACTACTCCAACCACTATTGCAAGAGGCTAAGGAAAGATTTAGACACAGATGGACTCATTCTCGGATGGGTAACAGGGATGGAAAGGGCAGGGCAGGGGAGTGAAAATCTATAAATATGAAGTGAGTGAAGGACAATATATAATAATGGTTGATTGGATATTATAATTAAATAATTACATTAATAAATTATAACTAATGGTATGAAACAAAGCATGTAAGAATGATTTAAGAAGAATCAATATGATTTGTAGATGTTCATTCAAATAATAAATTCCTTAAAAGTGTCACAGCCTTGGAAGGCCGGTGAGGCAGTTCTGCGCTGTCCTGTAGGGTCCGCTGTATTTTTCAGTTGATGACACAGTTTGGGGAGCTGTTCTCACATTTAAAGTGATGATTTGACCACCGAACCGCTGCTGCCTTCTTTGTTCAAACTAAAAACCTCAAAACTCATAGTCATCACGTTCCTTCGCATTCGTGGAGCCCCTCCGTCAACTTTCTGAGACTGTGGATCTCAATGAGAGACTGCCCATCTTTCGGCTAAGGAGTGCTGGTGAACGCATCCGAGATGTGCAGCCGGCTCACGCCTACGGGTGAGCTCGCTTAGGGCAGACTGTTGTTTCTAGGTGTTACCAAGTTGAGTGTGACTCATAGTGACTCTGGGAAGAGATCTGACCCCGGTCCTATTCAACGCCATCCTCACAGTAGGTGACATGCGTGAGCCCATTGCTGCTATCACGGTGTCAATCCATCTGGTTGAGGGTCTTCTTCTCTTTTGCCACCCTTCTACCTAAGCATGGTGTCCTCCTCCAAGGAATAATCTCGCATAGAAACTCGCCCAGAGTATGTGAGATGAAGCTTTACCATCTTTGCCTCCTAGAAGCACTCTGACATCACATTCTCCAAGACATTATCTGTTTGTGTTTTTGGCAGTTCATAGGATATTCTATACTCTTTCCAACACCATAGTTCAAAGGTATCAATTTTTCTTTGGTCATTCTTATTCATTGTCCAGCTCTCAGATTTATGTTGTTGTTATTGTTGTGTGCCGTCAAGTCACCTGCAACTCACAGAGACACGAGGTACAACAGCCCTAAACTCTGCCCCATTCTGTGCCAATCTCACCATCTCTGACCATTACTCGAGTCATTGAATCAATCTATCTCATTGAGAGTCTTTCTCTCCTGTGCTGTTCCTCCACCATCCCAAGCATGACATCCCTCTCCAAGGACTGGTCCCTCCTTGCAACATGTCCAAAGTATATCAAATGAAGCTTCAGAATCCTTGCCTCCAAGGAGCAGCCCAGCCTCACCCTCTCCAGGACAAACCTGTGGCTGAAATCAGGTGCACCTTAGGGGTTTGATCTCAGGCTTTTGATTTTTCCACCATGACAAAAGGCATTGTTTTGTTATCATTGGCAAGATTTCAAATATTATTATTTTACCAACAGAATTTCATCTGAAATTATTGAGTCTCAGTTTCCTCAACGACAAAACAAAAATAATAATTTCTGCTCACATAGGGTGTTGTGAAGGAGAAATGAAATAGAACATGTGAATCACTGAGTACACTGCCTGGTGAGGTCTTGGCAGTGGTAGCTGATGATGATGGTGGTAAAGTGATGAATTATAACTATTATCCCCATTCTCTGCAGGACAGTGCAAGTAATGATAATACTGGTGGTACAGTTAATGGGATGATGTTAACAGTCATGGAGGTGGAGGATGAAGATTAAGATGATGGTAATAATGGTGGTGGTGGTGGTTGTGGTGATGAAAACAATGGTAGTATTGGAAGCGATGAGGATGGTGAGGGTGGTGATGGTAATGCACATGATGGTGGTGTTAAAGATGAAGGTGATGACGTTGGTCGTGTTGATGATGACTGTGGTGACGGTGTTCTGAGGAGAATGGTAGAGAAGAAGATGATGTTGGTGGCAGTGATGGTGGTGGTACCGAGGAGGATGACGATGAAGAACATGATGGCGATGGGACTGAGGATGATGAAGATGATGGTGGTGGTATTGAGATGGTTATGAAGAAGACGACGGTGGTGATAATGGCCGTGATGGTGGTGGGACTGGGATGATGATGATGAAGATGATGGTGGTGGTACTGAGGATGAAGATGATGAAGACGATGGTGGTGGAACTGAGGATGATGAAGATGAAGGTGGTGGGACTGGGATGATGATGATGAAGATGATGGTGGTGGTACTGAGGATGAAGATGATGAAGATGATGGTGGTGGGACTGAGGATGATGAAGATGAAGGTGGTGGGACTGAGGATGAGGATGATGAGACCATGGTGGTGGTATTGAGATTGTTATGAAGAAGATGATAGTGGTGATAATGGTCATGATGGTGGGGGTACTGAAGATGATGATGATGATGAAGATAACAGTGCTGATGATGGTGGTGATAAAGACGGTGGTAATGGTACTGAGGATGATGGAGATGATGGTGTTGATGAAGATGATGGTGGTACTGGGGATAATAGTGGTGGTAGTGAGGAGGAGGATGATGATGGTGGAGGTGATAATAGCGGAGATAAAGATGCTGCTGTTGGTGGTACTAAGGATGATGATGATGATGATGGTTGTGGTGGTGATAATGGCAGTACTGAGCATGGTACTGATGAAGATGACGGTGGTAATGAAGGTGATGGTGGTGATGAAGGTGACGGTGGTGATGAAGGTGATGGTGGTGATAAAGGTGACGGTGGTGATGAAGGTGACTGGTGATGAAGGTGATGGTGATGCTGAAGGTGACGGTGGTGATAAAGGTGACGGTGGTGATGAAGGTGATGGTGATGAAGGTGATGGTGATGCTGAAGGTGACAGTGGTGATGAAGGTGACTGGTGATGAAGGTGATGGTGATGAAGGTGACGGTGGTGATGAAGGTGACGGTGGTGATGAAGGTGACGGTGGTGATGAAGGTGATGGTGATGAAGGTGACGGTGATGCTGAAGGTGACGGTGGTGATGAAGGTGACGGTGGTGATGAAGGTGACGGTGGTGATGAAGGTGATGGTGATGAAGGTGATGGTGGTGATGAAGGTGATGGTGGTGATGAAGGTGACGGTGGTGATGAAGGTGACGGTGGTGATAAAGGTGATGGTGGTGATGAAGGT